GGGTAATACCAAGCTAAGTGCCTTTTTTTCAATCGGTGACCTTTGATTTGCATCCCGTGCGAGACGGAGCACCGCCGTTACTCGTAAGNCCTTTGATTTGCATCCCGTGCGAGACGGAGCACCGCCGTTACTCGTAAGTTTTTAGACGCTCCCCGCTATCGGTTTCCTACACATGTGTGTTCGCACAGCTCTTCCACGGTTGAGTGTTCGTGGATAATTGATCTCGTACCCTCAAACCTCTTGTTTGGCATCTTGTGCCGAACATCTACCTTGTGCTGCCATTATATTCCCTGCAAGAGTACCGCCCTACCCGCCCCCCAATACAAGAATGACCCACGAGGTTCCCAGTCGAGAGTTGGTGACTTGCTCGAGGGGACGACGCTAGAGGATGTGACCGATATTGTCATGATTGGTGTTGTACCGGTTTCCGCATAAACCGCAGGCAGATGTCTCCCTGATGTCATATACAGGGAGTATTTCCCTTTTTTCTCATATGGGTTTTTCCGGTGATGCGCCAGCATGTGTGATGCTTGCACGCTAGCGGCGTCTTTGCCGCAGACATCCTACTGCTGCAACCCGCTACTTGTTATGGGGCTCTTCATTGCTCGGGGTGTACGGGAACGCGTGGGTGTTGCCCAGGAGTCTAAAGTGTTCCTCTTGATGCGCAGATGTGTTTTGCGTTTCCTGCGAACGCTGATGATTCGGAATGCCTGGCTCTCGTGGGTATTGTTATGTGTTGTTAGTTTATCCAAACAAAGACTCTCGACTCCGGTGAGCGACGAAGGAGAACAGGGTTTTCGCCTGATTGAAAGCGGAGTATACGATTGAGGGCGGGAGCAAAAAAATTGAAATTTCGGGTCCAGACGCCTCTTGCCATTGCTTGGGAAGTAGGGGACGGGCTGTTCCAAGAAGCGGCGCAAATTGAAGGTCTCATCAGCAGTGTCACGAGCATATGCGTGTCATCGCGATCGGATGCTGCAGCTAGGAGCTAGACAAGTTGCTAGATTTCCCCAGATTGGCTATTCCTGCCTCAAACTGTTTCAGGGCGATTTGATCGCGGGCGGTGAGCTCTGCTGTAGATTCTGCTCCCCGCTGTAGCTTCACAACGAGAGACGCCCACAGGATGACCAGGGCATCGGCTTGTAGCTACGGGCTAGGCCTTCAATTCAAGTCACGCAGCAAGCTCCACCTCTCAGCGGTAGTCCAGCTACAGCGCATCGCGCAATCTCGCTCTCAATCAGAAACTTCGCTTTCAATCACACGAAAACCTTGTTGGAGGCAGACAGACGCCATCGTCACGCCCTGTTGCTGGGTGTGCTTCGCCGGCCCTTACTAGTTGCTGTCGTAGGAGGTGTGGTCGCAGGTAGCAGATGATTTGACCGGAACATGAAGTATCAATTAACAGGAATCGAGCTTCCTTCCTGTGGAGGATCCATACCACCTGCCTCCAGAACATTCCGGACCATTCGTTTACCCAAAAACATTTTTTTCGCCCCGATGGATGATCAACAATTGTTTTGATGCCAACGGGTCATGGCGTGCGAAGAATGACTGG